AATTATTGCTAACAGTTCATGCCTGTCATTAAGATATTGAACATGATTTGTAGCTATATAGTGCAATTAAAAAACCTAGTCATTTTTCAAAAAAAATATCCTTATAATTTCCGTAAAATCTTTTACTCAGCTTAGGTAATTGTTATTCTTACTATTAACCATTTTCGTCAATTTCTTCAAAACAGAGTTTCTTTACAATTATACTCGAAAACAAACTGTGCTTACTAAAAGCTTTTTGTTTTCAAGCTACTCATCTGTAACTTGTTTTTCTCGACTTTAATTATTCTATTTTCAGCAGCGACCAAAATTTAAATTTTAAAGCGGTTAAAAAGGCTTTGTCCACATGAAAATGGAAAACTAAGAACAAAATAACAAAATTATATAAGAATTGCTATTTTATAATAATTATTATGATAGCTATTTAATATTATAAATCTGTACGAATGTTCTGTGTTTGGAGGGTAATTTTAAAGTACTGCAAATTAATTTAATAAGCGTGTTCACTTCTTGAAACTATCGTAGTTGCTTTCCTAAAAAGCAACAGTTTGGACAGAAATTGATTGATTGGTATATATACACCACTATTTATGCTTTTCAGGTGGCTAAGAAGTGTATTAATCTTTAACGATCAATTTTAGAAGTACAATATAATATTTTTTTAACAGTACTTAGTTAAATCATGCTCCCCAAAACTTTTGACTCCCATTGAGCAAGGCCAGTTGATAAGACTAAATTTATAAATGAAGTGAAGCAGTTCTATGTCTTGCATTAAAAAACACTGAAGTGTATCACTAATGACTACATAGCTATAACTATAAGGTCCAGTAAACAAACAACTCAGAAGTGTAGAGCAGAAAGTCACGTAACATCATTTAATTGCTGAAAACAAACTACTTCAATTCTTTTGTTCTCAATCTTATTACTAATGATCCATGTCTTTTTTTTCCGATGGATTTAACAGTTACACTGCTTTAGCTTTATGACTGCTTATAAAGTTTATCTCATAATGAAGTTTAGTAACAGAGGGGTTATTTGAAGAGATTAAACAAGTTTGTTGATAAACAAGTAAGATCCAAATAGTTGGATATCGTGTTGGCGGTGACTACAAATCCATTTACATTACAATTGTGTATACATCGGCAGCTGAAGGTAATGTTGCAAAAGGGTGTGACATATAATTATTGCAATTATTAGTCAACAGTTGAGAAGGAAAATAATAATGATAATGGAAGCGGAGGTTACGGGTGTAAGAACTTCAAAGCAAACCGATGTTGTTGAGCTTGATCACTGACCCTATTCTCCTCGAGGATAAGGGAGGATGCAAGAAGTTTAAAATATATATACAAGCTGCTATAAATAAACTTTGTGGGAAAAAGCTTTTTTAGGTAAAAAATGAAATTAAATAAAACAATACCAACTTTCAGCAGGTGAAAAAAGTATAAGATAGTGTCCTGAGTGATTTACATTGTTTATAAATAGACCTGACGTCGCTGGCTATTATGTTACTGTTCTGTACAGAGGGGTTTATGTTTGTGGTTCTCTCGTCTTTCAAGTGAAAAAGTCCTTTTCATTATGCTAGACAACTGAAACTATGCAATATTTCTCACTCAAAGGGAAATGGGTGTATTTGCGGCTAGACAGCCTTGTGGTGTAAAAACCACAAAATTTAATCCATGCATGGATTATTGTGTTTTCGGACACTTTAAAATACAACGTGATGTTTCTGGTTAAATTTTATCCCTGTTTTAAACTCATCATCTTTCATTAAAATACCCAAAAACAAAGGAAACTAAAATTTGGACCAACTAAAGGGAAAAATTCAGCCACCATTATATGCAAATCTCAGGTTATTAGTAGAGTCTATTTCGTGCAAATATGTATTATTTTATTATTTGTCTGGTAATTAAATATAGTCTTCTAGTGCACTTCTCAAGGCAAGGATCAGTCCATTGCAATGTGGAGACACATTTTGGTATTCTCTCAAACATTAACCAAACTCTTAGTTAGTGTAGAGAATCCTTACAATAATAATGATAATTCTGTTATTTACCCTTGACAGTACTGTTAGCACTTATGCTAGTGGGGCTGAGCAAATGCATGAAACAAATAATCTAAATCAAACATAACAGGGTTAAGAATCCCAGCTGGTAGGAGGCAAACCAGTTGGCCATGGCTATATACAAGTGTGGCCAAAGATTTGAACTCAGAACTACCATGAATAAATTCAGCTAGCAGTCAGAATGGGACTTGAACTCAAGGCCTCTGAATTAGAAGTCTAGTGCTCTAACCACTCGGCCAAGCTTCCTCCTTTGATTATAGCCCGACAAAGGCTATGATTAAGAGCAACTGTCTGGATAATGAGCATGGCACATTGGCCTAACAATCAAGGATCTGACTTGCTGATATATACATACTTTAAAAAAATGAAACAAAAAAAATTGGCATGTCCCAGATGAATGCTTGCTTATAACTTTCAGAAAAGCAAGTGCTTATAGTAAAAATAAATGCCTTTTTATTAAAATAATTTAGTCCTTATTTTAGTAATTTAATTAATTTTTAAAATTCCTGTTCTTAATGTCACTGACCAATATGCATCCATGTGTTATTTATACAGTAGCCTCTTCCTGCAAAGAGAGAAAAAAAGGCTTCTGGATATTATCCTCAGATATATTCATTGAATGCTTGAACAGTCAAAACTCTATTAACCTGTAAGCCCCGATAGTGACCAACATCCAATTTCTCCCAACAATGGCACTGCCTCATCAAACATAGAGATCATAAGAAGGAATGAAATGATCACCAAAGATGATTCAGAAATGTAATGAAGTTTGAACAAATTCTGGATCAATTTCAGTTTTTGGGAAACTGCCCACCTACCCCTCCCCTAAGCTAACATTAACACTTAAATCTCGCTTAGGGCAAAATGTTGGCTTCGGGGAGGGGTGGGTGGTCAGTTTCCCAGAAACCTAAATTGATCCCAAATTCTCTCGAGCAGTACCATAAGAAATGTATGAAAAACAGTGTGGAGAATATGGATGTTGATACTGGAGCTTTAACCCTTTAAGCCTCAATATCCACAAACAAATTCTCCAAACTGATCTCTATACATTTCCTTACAGAATTAGTTGGGAGAAATTGATAAAAGATCAGGGATTTTTCTCTTTGTGATCATTTGTTTAATTCTCATAGATGTTGCACTTGACAATCTATGGATATCGTTAGGAGAAAATTGATGTTGGTCACTATTGGGACTTAAAGGGTTAAAGGGGTTTATTTCTGCAACTCTATTGTGGTTACCTCTCCACAGCAGTCACCTTGTAAATTGCCGCAGTGGTAAGTCCAGCTTCTTGAAAATTAGCTTTAAAGTGGGTTTTTAATTTACTGTACTAAGAATATCACATCTACGGTCTAAGAAAAATTGAAGGAGCCCATTGTTCAGAACTTGTGAAATCCAGGGTTCCAACATATCGCTTCTATGAAAAAAATACGATTTCCTAATTTCCCGCAACCAAGTTATGTTTCACAGGCCACCAGGCAATGGTTTAAGCACAGCCTTGAATATTAACTTACTTTGTGGGAAGAAGCCAACAGGTCCAGTGACACAAGCCATCTATCTATACTCATCGCCACAATCACCTGTTGTTTCAAACAAATCCTCTCCTTTACGAAGGGTTTGTTCTAGTTTCTCCACATCACTTGTGGTAAGTTTGAGATCAAGAATTTTCATATTACTTTCAATATGCTCCGCTTCAGGTACTCCAAACCTGCACCCAATAATTATCCCAGCGACTTCTGGTTTATCTAAAATATAGCGACAAGCTACATTGGCTACAGTGCTGTTGTGAGCCAATGCAATGTCAGACAAGTTAGACAGANGGTTATCCGCCAAAGCCGAAGGCTTGAGCCCGGTGGATAACACCCTCCGAGATCTGTATATCTTCATATCATACGAAAGCCGAGTTCAATAATTGTTTAATTATTCCTTCAAAATATTTACACGGCAAAACAAAACGGTAACTGAAAATAATTTAGTGAATGATATTAAAGTTACTGTACATCATTTACTCGAAAAGTGCCAAAATTACACTTTCTGTTTGTGTTGCGGTCGGTAAATTCGTTTGCTATGTCAATGGTGGAAAGCCTGTCCGTTCTTTCTTTGTGTATGTTTAAAACTGTCAGGTTACTAAATCGTTCCTGGTTCATTCTTGAACGGAGCCATGTCAGGGGCACCCAACGACAATTTTCGGAAAATTATCTGTTCGGAAGACGATTTGAGATCGGATCATTTCCTGTAAAATTTCTTGCTTGCCTGCCTCTCCTAGGATTTTCGAACATCAAAAAAGTGGTACAATTGGCCATTTTTCACGGATTTTTACCCTAAAAAGGTCACCTAGAATTTTCGGAAGCCTTTTTTCTGGCTGAAATTTTCGAAAAGGTAAATTTTGATCCCTATAATTTTGATCACTATACTTTCAGCTAGGAAATCCGAACAGATGAAAAATTTTTAGGGGATAAAAATTAGCCTTTATCTACCGTTTAAATACTAAAGTACGTTCAACAATGCTATGTTTATGTGGTTTTGAAATATATTCTCGTTGGGTGCCCCTGCCATGTTTTTAGCCTCCGGGCAGTCGAAAAGGATCTTTCACCGGCTGCACTGGTTGCTGGATTTACGACAATCAGCTTACATGTTTACCTCTGCTAGGTTAGAAGCGAAAAAATATTTTACAATTGTAACGACTAATGCTTCATTCTGTCTATTTATCTGTGCTTTTGTCTTTGCCAGTAACTCTGGTCACTTTCGAATTAACGATTTTTTGCTATTTTTCACTCCGTTACTTTTGTTAAGTTATTTTTTGTTTAATTTATTTTTATTCTTGCAAAAAAGTGGGGGGGCTAAAGCCCCCCCAGCCCCTCCCTCTGCGCGGTCCCTGAAGCACAGCCTTGAATATTAACTTACTTTGTGGGAAGAAGCCAACAGGTCCAGTGACACAAGCCATCTATCTATACTCATCGCCACAATCACCTGTTGTTTCAAACAAATCCTCTCCTTTACGAAGGGTTTGTTCTAGTTTCTCCACATCACTTGTGGTAAGTTTGAGATCAAGAATTTTCATATTACTTTCAATATGCTCTGCTTCAGGTACTCCAAACCTGCACCCAATAATTATCCCAGCGACTTCTGGTTTATCTAAAATATAGCGACAAGCTACATTGGCTACAGTGCTGTTGTGAGCCAATGCAATGTCAGACAAGTTAGACAGAAGGTCTTGAAATAGTTCCCAAGTACCCCAGGCATCAATCATTTGCTTATACTTTGCAAGAGATGCTGTCTGCAGTTCAGATCTCATGATTGGCTCTTTTGCATTAAGATATCTTTCAGATATTAGCCCTCCGCCCAATGTGCCATACGCTAAGAGCTTTATTCCATGCTGGCGACATAGTTTGACCATCTTTGACTCTGGCCGTCGATCAATGATTGAGTACTGCACTTGATTGGTAGATATGGGTATTTCCCTTTTGATAATTTCCTGTAGATGTCTCGTGTTAAAGTTCGTTAGTGAGAGCTCTCCAATTAATCCCTCCATCCTCAGTTCATTTAAATAACAAAGTGCATCGATGTAACGACTGTCTGAGTAATCCCACCAATGAAATTGCAGCATGTCCAGCTTTTCGACACCCATCCTTTTCATTGCAAGACGCACGTGTCCTTTGGTGATTTCTCTTGACAGGGGTTTGCCTTGTTGTGGAACCCATTTAGTTAATGCTGAAATCAAGAGTGACAAGTAAAGTTTTCTCACTGAAAAATTAACCCAAGGCACTTAATTCTAGCAGGCCAAAAAATGCAAATCCGTCACGCAAAGAACTTCACAAGTGAGACTGCTAACATTAGGAGTTGTGTTCACGGGAAAAGTAGGTACATCCAGAAACACGTAACCCTCCTTACCCCAAATCCCTCCTCTCCATCTCAGACAGATATGATGCATCATTCACCTCATTCCCCTTGCCAATCAGAATTTAGATTCCTCCATGATTTCTCTAAAGCCATTCACAGGCAAATTTTTGCAGCTCATGTTGGTTGCAGGTGAAGCTTTAGACTTTACAGGAGGGAAGGGTAATACTAACAACAACAACAACAACAACAACAATAATAATAATAATAATAATAATAATAATAATAATAAAAACAGTGAAGGAGGGGACCTTATTGACATCTTGAAAAAATGAGCAGAGATTTAATAGAACTGTTAGGGCGGGGTAACCACTCTAATCATTTGCTTTTAGGAAAATCCTCCGTAGTAAATCTATTTCTTTTTGGACCAATCCACAATCAGAGGCGAAGGGAGCCCAAAGAAATTATCACCTTCTGTATATGTATCATCAGAAACTCATAAGGGGTTATGAGTTTCTGGTATCATACATATACAGAAGGTGATAACCGAGCGCTATTTTTCTCCCACTACGGATCATTTTTGTAATTAACTAACCCTGAACTTTTGTTCCCACTTCTTCACCCCGTTCAGTCTTTAAATCATCTAAAAACTCGCCGAAGATGTCCTCTGCAGGTCCGTAGATATCCGCCATATCGAAAGTTGTCAATCCTGCGTCAAAGTAGTCCACCATTGCACGCGAAGCCTTGTTCGCGTTGATTGGACCGTGTTGTCCCGAAACCTGCCACATCCCATTCAAAATCCGGCGGATTTCTAAGCCATTTTTTAGGCGAAAAAATGGAACTCGGCCCATTATTTTGGCCGCTAAAAACCGTAAACGTGAAGAGAATCACACGTCTTGCTAAACAAAATGGAGTCGTAACTTTAGAGCCAGTCTCCTAACCTTGTCCCCAATCCGACGTCCGCCTGGGTCCAGATCACGCAAACTTGTCACGCAATAATTCTCTCCCTCACCCCATCGCTCTGTTGAGTTTAGTCGAAGTTAACCGATGTTGAATATCGCTTACTTTTGTACTGACTCCTCTTATTAACCATAATAGAGGTATTTTAGATTTCGGATAATTCCAGTATTTTTTTGGATGTTCACCGGAAATAGTTTTGACCGGAAGTACAATTTGTTGGGAACACGTCGACCCGGTTGCTAGGAGACTGCTGGACGCCTGGAAAACTGTAAAATTATTTACTCGAAGTTCTCATTCAACAGCAGTTGTTTAGTAGCTACAAGTTACTAAGTGAACTTGGACGATATCCACAAGTTATTGAAATAAAAGAAAGAAAGTCTGAATCTCCAGTTAAACATTTTGAAACTTTTTAAAAGAAGCTTGCTCCAGACCCAGACAGACCACAATTACGAGCAAGAAATGTTAACGAACGCTGGAAGATTCATTGACAGAAATCCTGGAATTATTCCGGTAAGTCTACCTTCTTTTAGGCCCTCTATCATTACCTTATGTGTGTAACGTTTTTCTGAAAATAAGCTTAAGGCCTTTGCTGGAAGACACAACCTTACTTTTAATAGAAGTGGTGACTCGATCGGACTTTGTTCGCAATGATGTTATCGAGCACTCTGTTCTTTTACAGGCAGGAAAGCTTTTTGATGTTAGTGGAGAAACGGCCGGAGATTGCTTACAGATAGCCCAACGGGTAAGAGACTTGATTTGACTTGAGATTTATACTTATAAATCAAATCTTTCTTTCAAAGACATCACGATAGCTTCAGGATGTTGACAAAAAGGAACCGGCAAACCTAATCTATCGATCAAAGACAACCTTTTTGTTTGAGGTTGATAAAGAAACACCTTTGCTCATTTTGTAACTTCTTTTTAGTCCTTAAGACCAGAGGCAGTGAGAAAGTTTAGAGGGACAACTCAACCGGAAGCAGGAAAAGAAAGAGTGTTTTATGGAAGAGCAAATGACCCAAATATTGCTTCACATATTAACCATGGAGTCAGCACAAGAACCTCGCTTGTGGTATGTATTATAATTTATTTTATTTATGATCTCGTGCTATCGTAAACTTTCTTTTGATTTCTTTAGACGCTAGTTTTTATTGCAGCGAAATTATCACCGGAAAACTAACGGCTTATTGCATTGATATTGTATGTATAGCATGTTTTGGTTACAGTTCATATTTATATGCAAATTAACATCTGTTCTGATATGATGTATTCAGACAGAGAACGATTCTAAGAGAACAATCTTTAACAATTATCCTTTTTGTCTAATAGTACAGAGTACACGGGGAAAGCATAGATTAATTTAGGCTCTAATTTCTGATTTCGTTAATAATAGTAACTTACAATATTTATTTTTTCAACAATAAATCAAATAGAGGAATTCCCAATATTATTGAAAGTTAATTTTTGTTACAAAAAAAGTTAAAGTTTTCTTTCAGAACCAATCTAAAAAAGCTCCTAGAAACAGCTAAATTCACTGTCATTTAAATTTTTCAGTTTAAAGCTAAAATATGAATCCTACTAATTTTTTTTCTTCTACAGGCTGGGGATCTTGTGAATCCAACAAGGAAAAGCCTTTTTTCTCAAAGGATGCTGGACAAAAAAGAAAGTCTTTATGCCAGCAGGAAGAATGCACCTCTAGGTAATGCAATTAAGTCCATTTTGTCTAAGTTATAATATTAATTTTACTAGTAGTACTCCAAATCCCCCGCACCAATAAAGGCCCCATTGTTAAAGGCCCTACCCTCCCCTTTTTAAAGGGGAAATAGGGTTACTAAGTCCCTCCCCCCTGCCGCCACCCAATGGTTGAACCATGCTGCAAAATCAGATAAACGATTTGATATTCTCTCTGGTAGATCAGATTGAAAGATTGTAAAGTTACGATTATTAATTCTTGCCCAATTTACCATTACATGTAGGTCGCTGTCATGATCAAAGTCCTGGATTACCAAAGGGTGTTGGACCAACTGACGTCATGTATGGAGTTAAAACAATCAAAGGTCTCATAAGCTGTATTTACATCTGAAACATTTAAGAGTGCTGTGCAGGAGGCCACAGGTTCAAACCCCCAGCCAGACCAACAATCAGAGTCTTAAAATAATGGAGCACTAAGATCTGCCTTTGTATATGGCATCTACAAATTATAAGATTTTCTAGTCTTGTCAGATAAGGATGACAAACGGTAGACCCAGTCTCATAAGCCCACATATGAATTCTGTTGGTTGCTAAGGAACCCACACACTGTTCTTACACTGGCATAGTCCCTAGTGGTATCTCTCATGTGGGGAGTGGTCTCATACATTGTTGAGGTGACCCTGCCAAAATTGCCAAACCTAAGTAACTCCTTAATTATAAAACTATCCAAAAAACTGTGCTAAGCTTAATTCAAACCAATATTATTTTGGAAATATTATTTGCAGATGGAAGTGCTGGCGAGATGGTGAACCCAGCTAAGACTGCAGCACAAGTAAATGCAGAGTCTATGGAAGGAAAAGATCTTTACAAATTCAGTCACAGTGATTATGAAGTTGGTAAGTCAAAATTAATAATATTATAAAAATATTATATAACATTTTGTCAGACCAAAGTGAATTAGTTGATTATTAACTAATTCTCAGTTTCCAAATCCTACAATAATTCTGAGATGAAGCCTTTTCAGCAGAGATCAAGTTTAAGTAGAACCTTGCATTGGTTTGCAGACACCTCTAAAATAAAGAGATTTGGCTGCCATGATGATATGTATATCACAGTGTGAGCTTACTTTTACTCGGCTTATTTTACTTGATTTCCAAAATTAGCTGTAGGCTCTTAGCCAGTGAGAAGACAGATAGTGAGTACAATGTAAAATAATAAGGAGTATTGCTGCTCTTGATTTTTTTAACCCTACAGCTGTACAATGTGTGTATGTATAGTTGTCTCGTTACCAATAAAGCTAAACAATATCCCTGCATTTCATAGGTGAAATGGTTGACAGAAAGTACAACTGGAGTAGAATCCCGAAGGACAGCAAATTTGGTGTAGAAACACCCCACAACAATGACGGCATTCATGTCAGAAAGACACTCAAGTGGCTGCATGAAACACAACAGTAAGTTTGGATGATTGCAATAATTTATGTTAATTGGATTCAGAATTATTTGTTAACAGGGTGCAAAGAAAGTCAGTTTTACAGCCTGCCATTCAGGCAAGCTGTAGCTAGCATGTACTAGTCCACAAGTCATTTCAACTAGCCCTTTAAAACCCTTTGATTAGCAGGATTGATTACAATCCTTCTGTAATTTAAATTTCCCAAAAAAACAGCACTTGCCCATCAGGCAAGTTAAGAACAAAAATCACTGGCCCGATAGCAAAAATCCACTAGCCCCAGGCTATCGAACACGACTTTCTTTGCACCCTGGTTAACATAATGTTGTATAGAGAGGAGAAGTGTCATGTCAGTTTACCATCGTGGCAAGATTTCTGGATCTAAACAATCTTTCTTGACAGAGATGGCCATTTGCTTTGTCAAATGATGGATGAGCTGCTACCGTTTTGTCCCTGAGTTCAATCATGCACAGGAAAGTCATACAGTCTAACCTCTCCTTATGGACACCTCCCTATTATGGACACTTCACTTGGTCCCAGAAATGCCAAAAATCATACATCCCCAGACACTTGGTTCTGTCCCTTTGGTGTCCGTATTAAAGAGGTTTGACAGTACATGTCAATTTTTTTTCACTTTTTTCTGCCATATTTGCAGGACCATGGTTTGTTGAGATCCAAAAATTTTGCTACCATGGCAACGTGACATAGTGACTTCCCCTCTCCATTCTGTTCAACTGAAGACCTTAATCTAGACTGAAATGATTGCTAAGTTTAAATGAGGGAATATAAAATATTTAACAATTATTCCTAAAGCCCAAATGGGCTCTGAGTCAATAGACTATGAGGCCTTAATAAAATCCAACTAGTTGGTCAAAAATATCGAGACGAAACAACTTTAGTTACCAAAATGCGATTCAGTGAGAATTGTTTTTGGTTTTCAAAGCCAGCGCTTTTCACTACTAGTAGGCTATAACATATCGCCTAGTAGTAGCTCAACCAATCAAAATGCTGCATTGATAAAAGAGCACTAGTTGGATTTTACTAATAAATAATACCATCCATAAGTCTCTTGAAGCATCTCACTTATCAAACCTCTCGCTGAATAAGTGGATGTGATTTAATTACAACAGGGAAAAGGCAACAAAAATTGTCTCCAAACGTGTCGACGACTTTCGTGAAAGAACCCAGCCTCAGCTTGGCAAAGTGCACGACCCAATCAAGGACACATTGAGAGTTCCTCCTGATCACACATTTGGTGTTATGGTTAAACCTGATGAATATGGAGCTGGAGATTTGATCCACATGAGGGTCCCAAGCAACTACTTGAGAGGGCGGGACAGAGAAAGGGGTGTGCTAGCAGCAGTTCGACAACATCTGAAGAAGGCAAACTACCACAACTTTCATGACCTGAGGGCAGCATTTGAATATTATGATAAGGTACTATAACACTTAGTGAAGGAAGGCTTACTGCTACAGACATCTAAGTGTGCAATGTTATTGAGTTAAAATCATGAAAAATGATTGAATTTGTCCCTAATAAATCAAATTACACCTGGCCTTATGACACAAATTAGGTATCTATTGACACAAATTAAAATATTTTTTCAACTTTTAGGTTTTAGATCGAGTCTACTTGTAAGAGAGAAAAGACAAATAATAATTAAATAAATAATATTAAGTTTAAGCAGCTTAAAATTATTGGTCAGTCACTGCAGCTTATGTATTTTTCCCCCATATAGGATAAATCTGGTAAAATTTCACTTGCTGAGTTGCGTGAAGTATGCATTCAGTTTAACCTTCCCGTGGAACCAGAGCTGTTAGAATCTTTGTTCTCTTACTGTGATGTTGATGGAGATGGACAAATAAATTATGAAGAATTTGCTAACTTCCTGAACTGGAAAGATAAGATGCCATCAGGTGAAATGCAAAGCACACTGAAGGAAGAAACATCTGAAGAAGAAGTAAAGGTTAGAGTGACCAGGATTTAGTTTCTCCTTACTATATCACTGGTTAATTAAACATTAAGATTATGAGAATTAAGGAATGATCACAAAAGATGAACTTACTTGATTGTATATGTCAAACTCTCCGAAGGGCCAGAACAAATTTATGGAAACCATTGCCAAGAAAACGCTTTTTGGTTTGGGTATTAAGTAATGTTATTATTGTGAGTTAGAGTAAATAGTACCGATTGCCATAATTCCAGTGAACCATACAAGATCTTATTAGAGACTTTTAAATTCAAGGACAAGGACAACTATCAAGGATGATATTTGACTTTAAGTTTTTTGGTGTGTTCCAAAAAATAGACATCCTGGAAAGCTTCATTTTCACTCTTTACACCAGAAACGTTTTTTTTAAGGAGGTTAAGCGTACCCCAACTCCTGATCCCAAACTGACAAAAGGTCTAACATTTGATGACTTGTTTCTGTCGCTATGATATTTTCACTAAAATCCCGTGGTAGAATGGCGAAGGCTATTGCATCTTCCTGCAAAAATGACACTGGTTCACACACACAACTTACACTGTAGTGACCAAGAAAATTTTGTCCTTGTAGTTGTCATCGTCTTAGAATCTAAAGGTCTCTAATAACTGTGGCAATATGATCATTCAGATTCTCACATCTGTTTCGCCCTTCTCCAACAGGAAGAGGGACAAATGTCAGGTGAGAAAACACCCGAAAGACTTAAAAAACAGATTGACAAAGCTGTGGGTGGCTGGAAGACATCATCATCTCAGTTTAATGCCGTTGCAGGAAAAATCAGAACAAGTGGTGAGTAACTGGAACACAAAGTCTACGTAAGGTAGCTCAGGGGAGGGTATTGCATTAGCCTGTGGCATGCTCTCTGGGGTGCTCTGGTGGCAGAGTGGGAAAAGAAAGGAGAGTTTGCAACTACATCTCTGGAATTTGAATATCTGCATCGAAAAAGTCAATGAAAAATGCTGATTGGTGGAGATGACATTAGTAAAGATGTCATTACCCTTGGTGCGTGTTTTTCAATGTTTGTTTACACTCCCGCTTGTTTCTGCTTTGTGCTGATTGGCGGAAATTTTACAGCTTAGTTGACGAGGAGCCACAGGGGAATTAGAGGTGGAATTTAAATTCCAGAGAAGAAGTTGCAATAGCTCTCCTTGCTTTTCCTGCGCTGCCACCAGAGTGCCCTGGAGAGCTTACTCGCAGGATAGTCTTGCATAAAAAGGTATTTCGCAGCACTGACAATACTGTTTCACTATAGGATGGCGAGCCTATGGAGTACCAACAATACGATCTGATTTGCCTGCACCAATAACAAGACGTGTGGCAGATACAACCGTAAGTGAAGATTATGGATAACATAACACTTAATGTTTCAATTTCTTTTGTGGCACTAAAACTTGTAAACAAAATAAAACACTTTTGCACATATGCAACCCCAACCAAAGCATGGTACAAAGCATGTCTGTTTAAATAAATACTAATATTAGGTGATTCACTCATTTCCTTACATTTAATTTGTAAGAGCAATGCATCTTACTATCACTATGCTACTTTTTTATAATTTACTGATTTTTTTTGCCACCAGCTATCAAATAAATCTGACATCATAGTAAAATTAAGGAGGATTTTCAACCTGATTTAAGAAGTCTATTTTTCTATGCTGCGCATGCGATAGACACTTAACTAAACACCACCACATCTACATGTTTTCCCTAGTTTCAAATTTGTATTTCACAATGCTTTTTTTTTTCAGAACTATGGTGATGAATCAGATGCTTATGGCCTGATCAACCCATCAATCTACAGCAATCTTGGAGTTTATGAGAAAGATTTCTTTCAACCCAGAGACCAATATGAGGTAATTAAGGCATCATTTAAATGAATAAGCTGAACAATGTTGTTTATTACCAAGGGTGCATTTGATTGATTGTATTACGGAATAAGAAATACACAAAAGTTTTAAAGCAAATCTCTTTTTCTTTGATTTTTGGACCACTTAAACACTAGATACACCAGTTTTTTTTATTTCAAGCAGATTTCTACATATAATGGAGATATTAAAAGTAAGAAGGTAAAGGTGCACATGAGCCAAAGGCCCAAATGGTCTTAGCTTATCCTGGTTTCCTTAGCATGAAGCATCCCTAGGAGTAGTGCTAAAGGCTCCTGGATGGGATGCTAGTCCATCGCAGGGTTATCCCCCAGGCAGTATGTCCCCAGTACCCATTTATACCCCTAGTTGAAGAGAGACAAAGTGGAGTAAAGCTCCTTGTCTAAAGAAATGTTCAACATGACAAGCAAGGCTTGAACCACAACCTCCAGATCCAGAGTTTGAGGTGTAAACCCTCTGCCATATATGCCTCTACACAATGCAATGCATATATTGCAATGCACTAAAGATTTGAAGTCAAGATTTTAGTCCATTTATTCTTGTTTCGGAATATGGTCTATTGAACACCCCCCAAACAGTTGGATAGCAGAGTTTTAAGAGCTGGAATTAATTATGAAAATTGTTTGGCAGATCCGAAGAATCTTTGATGGAATTGGAGTTGAAATGACCACTGATGTATTTGAAAAGATTTGGGAGCAAGCAAGTTCAAGACACCCTGCTGGACTGGTAAAGACTGAACAAATTTTTATACTTTTGTTTTACTTGCAACAAAAACCTTTGGAATTCATATCATAACCTTTGATCCTTGTCTGTCACCTTTTCATAAGGTATATAAAATACTGCTTGCCCTTGGCTCAAGACCATAAAGCTTGATATAAAACTATTCCTTTTCTATTTTTCTTTGCAGGTCAGTGTAGAATCTTTCAGAGGCATAATGGATGAAGTCAATGCCCAGAAATTTGCTGAGAGCCAGGCAGTATGAGATGGAAAATCTTTGTGTTTTGCAAAAGTCAAACAAGATATTCATCACCTTTAACTTGACTTTAATCCACTTGATTTGCTTCGACTTACAAGGAAAAGTAACTTATTTTTATAGTTATTTCCTAAACAGCTTTCTTGGGACTTTCCTAACTAGCTGAATTATTTGACACTGTTAAATTTAAAGTTAATAGTTTCAGAGAAAATTAAAAGTAGAAAAAGTAATATGACTGAAGTGTTATTATTATCATAAGAAAAAATGTTCATGAAATATTTTCACGTTGTTCCAGCACTTTACTGCGACAAAATTTTATGTACTATAATCTTTGTTTAGTAAACAAGCTCCTTGTATAAATTTTATGAGTTATAATTATCTTAGACTGTTACACCTTTTAAAGTGTACTCACGGTTTGGTCAAATGAAATAAATTGAAGGAAAAAGCTTTGTTTTGTCTTTTTGGAAGCCCATATGTCTGTGAATTCGTCCTCATGGAAGGAAAGAAAAAGATCTTGAGTAATAATTTTTGTCTTATTAAGTTCTTTTTCATCTCACAGACTTTAAAGCCAAATATTTTCTTTAAAACTCTTTGGGCAGCCAGTGAACCAGAAAGAACATTCACTTTCAGTTACTTAAATGAAATGCCATAAAAAACTTAGCCAGTACTATGTTTGTACTAAGGGACACCAAAGGTATTTAAGCTATTGTAATCCTTACATACATGTACCTCCTAGACAACACGGAAGGGCAAGTTTTATATGAATAATATAGACTTTTAAATAATAACCTGTTGATGGTTAGCAAAAGAAAACATTCTTGATGTTTATCATCTGTTCATTTGTGATATTGACCATCTCAATAAATTTTTAAAAACTTTATACCCTAATCTATATATTAAGCACATAACCCAGAGTTACTACCCTATGGAGATCTAAAATCTGGTGATTGTCTCTTGCATTTGTATTTCCTTGGTGTGACCATTTAAACAAAATCTCTTTGGCAGCACTTTTGCATGGTATGATTTGTTTGTCAACATTTTACAAAATGAAAAGTGAACATTTTGTTGACTTTTGACCTTGGTCATTCTTTTTGTAGTTAACGAGTTAACAGGGGTACAGGGTCAAGAGGGTAACTACATTCTTATAATATTACAAGGCAATTAGTGTGGCATCATGGCAGTCCTTGAGGCTCTTCGGTTCATAAACCGCAGGTACAAAACTCACAAGTGCAGGTTAAAGTACAAGTCACCGTGAAAATAAACAACACTTAAATTGTCTCCTAGCCCTAACAACAATCCTAAATAGAGCTTTAGCTTAAATTAAGGGGGAAACTGCTTATCTAACTTATTCATCAAAAGAGCAGTGACCAGCTGTGTTTTGTACCTGCCAATTCATAAAAAGAGTCATTAATTTTATCCTATGTTCAGGTTGTACCGTACAGCACCTACTTTATTTACAACAACAATATAATCACCTTTTTAGCAGTTATTTAGTGCATAAAACAAACACAGCAACATAAACATCCTCAAGAGAAGTTATGTGTTCAAAATCCCATTTTAAACACAATTCCTTCCTGTTACCCTCTATCACCTGGTCAAAGCCTAGCGTGAGTAAGAATTCCTTTGCTGGATTGCTTGAATGTGTCCAGGTTCTCTGGAATAGTGGGTCATCAGCTGAGGTAGTCTTTCCATACATTGTATTCTTCAGCTATAAAAATGAGAAAAAATTTTTGTGATTTTTATAAATTAATTTCATGTGACCTGTGTGATGCAGATCACGTTCGCTACACAGCGCGACACCTACATCAGCACATTGCTGATTTAATTTTCAGCAATTGGTGAACATTTTTTAGAAGCTTGCAGTGACAAAAATCTTCTGATTGAGGGTTAATTTTGCATTCTAAAGAAGTGCCACAGAAATTTGACTGCTTCATTTACCAGATGTTATGCATCAAAGAATTTAGGCCCAGTCAGAGTGACTGCATTAGTGCAAAACGTTTTGTTTCACTTGTAACATATTTTGCTATGCTACTTTTCTTTTCAGTGATCTATTGTTCTTTGTACTTATGGAATGTTCATACTCTTTTTTCTTTTGACTTGATAATGACATTCGAGGATGTCAAAACTTTATCATGTTATTTAACGTTTCGTTAAAATTGAAATCTTAAAATGTTTTTAAGCAAAATTTTATGGCAATTTTTGATAGCCAAATGTTTAAAAAATTGCTTCTTTTGAAAACATTTCTGTGGATAAAAATTTGAAAATGGCAGTGAGTGGAGTCTAATTCAGTCTGTAATCATACAAGTGACTACAAACAAGAGCATGATTGAGTACTGACAGAGTAAGTACCAGTAAATGCAACAGACATTATTTAACATACCAGATACAAGAGTGGTTCCTTGTGCTGCGAAGTAAGTTCTTTTAATTCTTGACATTGAGGTACTGACAACTCTGTTAGGAAATCAAACAGATACGAATTTAGCTTTTGGTTTTGGAACCAAATTTTTAACCACATTTAGGCCCTGGAGGGGGGGGGGGGGGTTCTTTT